TAGCCTGAATTTGACTTTTTCACAACTATGAGTCATCGACCGCCATGATTACACATTTTAAACAGTAGTCATTTCGATTAAAAATTCATTTTTTATACAAGGAGTAACAAATTAACAGTACATTACAAGTAACCAATATACCCATTCAAACTAGAATACGGGAAGTTTGCTTTCCCATAAGATTTAAGGCAATAACGTATGTTATAATTTGTTTAGTGAGAACTGGCAATTGATTCCAGAATACATGTTTCATCCCAAATTTGGTTCGTCACCAGGAGTAATGTGCCTGCATTTCAATGAGTGATGTTATACGGACAATTTCGAGGGGCATCCGTATAAAAGCCCATTTGCTGCCAGAGGTCGAGTAATTCAATCCAGTATAATCACGGGACATTACAAGCACCACGTAGACGTGTACAAACCTATGGAGAGTTGTCGTGTGAAGTGACGACAACTACCGGTGTTCGACAGGAGATGTCCATTGTCACCGTTCTTATTTAATGACGTCATAGATGTACTAATGGAAATAATGTGAAGAACCTCTGATTTCACAGGGACCAGTCTACTCCACAGTGGTCACCTAGTTGACTTGGAATATGCAGATGAAATTATGCTGCTGGGTAAAGACGCTGACGAAATGGAGAGTCTTCTGAATGCGTTAACCAGAAATCTGAATATGTATGGACTCTAACATATATGGCATGGTGGAATGTGTCGACCACTTCATTTACATGGTGAGCTGCATCATCACAAATGGCTTTGTTGCTGACTAATTCTCAGCTCCGATAGAGAAGGTCTGTGTAGCACTTGTCCACTTACGTCATCTGTGGCGCAGGCGAGGTAGCTGACCATTTACCAAAAAACGAGTATAGTGGGCTACGGAGAGCTGGATTAGGTTGGGAGAAGGTTCAGACTAAGACCTACCATCAGTCGATGAAGTCCCTGACAATTTGCCTAAATCATATGATGAGGTATAGACTACCTCGTTGGGGTTACTGAGACAATAGGAATGAATGGTTGAGGACTCTTGGTGTCATGGTTGAAAGTAAGTGATAATGGAGCAGATGTACTCGGTCTCTGATATCTTCTAAAGCTTGAATATTTGCACCAAACCTTGTTTTCAGATTGTTTCTCCCACACGACTCCTTTTCTATCGATCTGCATTTCGTGTACTACTGTAAAGTGTGGCAACTTGAGGCGACGCACCCGTATACGAGGTCCAATGTTGATTTTGTCAGTCATAAATAATGATACGTGTATCGAGAAGATTATAACAGCAGTTGCGCAACTAATATTGTACAGTTACTTATAAGAATGCATACAAGTAGTATATATAGCAACGTGGAAACCGATAGTGGCCGATTGGTGAGAATTTGGTCAAAAACAGCGCAGAACAACTAATTGTTTAAAAATCAATATCAGATTGCAAAGTTAGACACTTTTGTCATGATGATTTGTATTTTTCTACACTGGCTTCAATGGTCATTTCTTCACTATGATTTACCTTATACGTTTTGCGTCTTTTCACAACTTAACTATTCAGAAAAAATGTTCTGATTTTACGAAACAAAATGTAAGTATTCTCATAAGACTACTCATGTTTAGTGAGGTCACTGTGAGAGTATTGCGTATGTTAGGTGTGAAAAATTAGGCGCGTCATTGAATGACAGTGTAAGCCTCCCCCGACTCCAGATGGTTTGTGTTGCGGGTGCCGAGCCACCGGCTAACTGCTGTAGGATTGTGTTAGAATAAGGCTAAAGGGGGTCACAAGACTGAGCGGCACCCAATCCACGATATCAATGACTAGTCTTCGAGACAATATGCATCACAAGTTGCAGGCTCTTCGAAACGTGGTTGGAAATCGACTAGAAAAGAGCAAATATACACACTGTGTTTGTGATCTTCGAATTTCTTTGAGATGTTCATTGACCTTTACCCACCTACAGTATCTATCTCTTCCCTCATACACTCTTGTCTTCCTTGATATCATTCTTTTTCTACCCACTTCTTATTTAAACATTTCTTTGAAGTATAGCAACTTATAACGAAGCAATTCTGCACAAGGTTTCAAGCTGATTTGTCTGTCCATCCGCGTTATTTTGATGGTGTTGTGTCCTCCAAGTTTGATGCTTTAATCGTAAAGCTTTCATTGTCAGCACAAACTTCATGTCAGTAAGACAGCCAATCGAAGTAAGTAGGGAGATAGTCGAAAGACCTTGGCAGAAACAACCGATCACACCCAAGGTCATCGTAACGAGTCACTTGTGAAGAAAATCGTATAACTCACTTCATCCTGAAGTCCGTACTGGTGATGATATTGTCTAGAACGACAATGAGATCATCACGACGATTGAACCATCCAGCTCAGAGAACAAAACACCATTAAAATCATCTTCCTGAGCTACAAATGTTCTCCATCATCACATTTGTCTTATACGTGTGCCTCGGTACTCTCAAACTTATTTGGCATATTGGCTTCTAAGGGCTGAAATCCGCCTAATACTTTCCTTCCAAAAAAATGAGAACAGATTTTATCCCCGAGGTTGGTGGGAAACATCCAAATATCACGTGATGGACAATCACTGAAAATTTCAGATAATATATTTATTGCATCCACTTCGTATCGGCCGGGGTGACCTTGAAATACGTCTGCCAATCAGAGAATAGGTGCATCACATTTGTCAAAATATTAAGTTGGCGTTAGATCAGTTGACATTATGCTATCGACTTTTTTCTCATGAAAATGTGCATTTTCTGTGAAATCATTTTGAAAGGTATTGTAATGTCTTTCTTCTTACTCTACGGCATAACTTTAAGGATTTTAGTGATTAGCGATGGGATTTTCAAATATCCCCGATCATAGAAAGACATATTGATGAACGGTTATAGATAAATGACATAATGAACATTCCAACCTACCCTGAAAGTATGATGGTGACATATGGATGATACATTTACCATGGTGAAGTCAGAATATATTCAGAGGTCTTTTAGCACACACATTAACTCGATAGTAGATACAATCTGATTCACTTTTGAATTAGAAAATGAACAAGGAGAATTACTCTTATGCTGGATTGGAAGATCAAGAGGAGAGAAGATGAAGGCTTAGATACCAATGTTTACAGGAAACCAACACATTTGAATAAATACTTGGATTTCACATCATCTCACCCTATCTCTGTCAAAGTAAGCTTGATAAAATGTCTAAGTAGTTTGGCTAGAAGTTTGACTCGTAAGTCAGAATGCCTAAATATGGAAATGAAATACATCACACAGGCACTACTCCTTAATAACTACCCTCCAGAACTTATCAAAAGGTTTATAGGGACTTATAAGAGAAGGAGTGGTATTGTGAGTGGTGATTGTAACATGCCTAAGAAGGAATTCGAATCCTCTATATAGTGTTGTCGTATGAAGAAGCCACGTCGGGAATTTTTACAAGGTTGGGATTTGGGTGGCATTTAAACCCACAAACTCGCTCAGAGAGAGGAACTTTGCAGGCTAAGAGATCCAATAAAGCCGATTAGGAAAAATAATCTAACCCATCAGATCCCATGTAATGATTATGAAGTCAAGCATACAGGTAAAAGCAGCCGATCTGCATCAGTTAGAGTAGCAGAACACAAATATCTAGCGAAACATACAATGGTAAACCCTAAAAAAATAAGTAACTAGGAGAAAAACTGGGCTTTCGCTCTGCATGCACTGACCCATAATCAGACTATAGGGTGCACAGGATAGGGAGACAATTCTAAAACACAATGTAACTAGCCAGATGGAACGAGGGGTTGATCACAGAATCAACACACATGTAACAGGAATGATTCTTCTCATATCAGAGATATCTGGAAAATGTTACTATCATTAAAGTAAACGAATGAAGAACTGTTGGACTACATGTGTGAGGGAAGTTTGAAAATTGTATAATTACTCTGAGATATGCATATGAAAAGTCAGTTGTGCCCAAAACGTCATCCAGTAAGTTATACTATATCAACCATTATGTGGTATACCACATAAAAAAATCTAATATGGAATTATACTTCACCATGGAGCCTAAGTTTTACTTCAACATACCATTTTTCTTCTCTTTAACAACCCTTTATTTGTGTGATATTCTTCAGTTTCTTTTGCCACACAATAAAATCAACCAACGTCAACAGGTCAATACACCCACTTCTTGAATTTTGTCCCCTTGCAATATAAACGAAATCTAGTTAAATGTTCGGTCCGTCGAGCTGGACTCATCTGTTCAGATGATACTTTTGACGAAGAGCTTCAAATTATCCATGACCTACTCAGTAGTAATAGATATCCAAAAACGTTTCTGGCTAAAAATATGCATACATCCAATATGAAAACCAGAATGCCTACAGTCTCCAAGAAACCATTGTTCCTGGGACTACAATTTCGAGGTGACATCATCAGCGAAACTGTGACACAACGCTTAAGGAGTGCCATAAGAAGATCATTTAATGCCGCCAAGTTATGTTGTGTTTTCTACAGCCGGCCGATGATGACCACACGAACTAAAACAGACTCCCTGACTTCTCCTCATCAGCATCACCCTTCATGGCTAAGTAAGGAGGAAACTAGACTTACACGAAGCTCAATACTCTCTCATCTGATTGACACCGGCCACCTAGTTAACATTCATAATGCTTTTAAAGTTATTTATCACATTCCTTCTAACCTCATCCATCCTCTACGAGTCCGTCTTTTACATACAGCAGAAGCCATAGGAATCCACCTACACAAGCCAAGTCTGTGAGTTCAGAAGAGATTCGTACAGCCTCTTTCTTTGCCTTGGCCATCTGTATAGCTCATTTATTACAAGAAGACTCTTCATTTCATTCACCACACAATTGACTATAACTAACATTTTAATAGCTCCATTATTATTATTATTATTATTATTATTATTATTATTATTATTATTATTATTATTATTATTATTATTATTATTATTATTATTATTATTATTATTATTATTACAGATTTAGCCATCTTCTTCTCCGCCTACTGTCTCTAATTACCGTCAACAATTTACAACCATTATTCTATTGAGCGTTGATGTGTATTTCTTCATAAAATATTAAACGGAATTCTCTACTAAACACTGAACTATAATTTCACACACTGTTGATATTTCTGTTATTTGTTTTGTAACTCTAAGCAAAATTCTGTTAATTAACTCATGACTAAGAGTATCATTTTTTCCAATTATCATATGACATGATGATATTCTTAATTGAGCAGTATGTGATAGTGAACATACATTCGCAATGATGAGTCATAGAGCAGACATAATTTAAGGTTAGTGAGACTTAACAAGCTATACTAAGTTTTAGTTATCAGTGCTTGCATAATTTCCACGTTAGAAATACTCAACTAACCCATAGAATTATTACTATTTATTGATATACATCTTATTGGATAGAATTGTTCAACCTATATGTTCATATTGCCTTGAAGTTTGAAGTGATGCGTACGAGGTTCGAGTCTCAGCGGGAACAACATCACTCCGCACTGGAGTGCAGGTGTACATCCAGCTGACGAGTCCTAAATAAGACGAGACGTGCGTCCTGGATTCTTCTGCTAGCCACAACCAAGTGAATTACAGTAGTAAATATCCAGGCAATATCGAGGCATCCACATAGGAGCCCATATGATAATAGAGGTCGAACAATTCGATCCAATAGAATAACTGAGAATTAATACTGTCATATAAGTTAAATAACTGTTACTCTTCTGTGGTTGGAAATGGTATGATTTGTGCTTCTTATCAAAATGTCTAGTAATAATATTGTGAATTTCTTTCCAGGAAATTCGGAACTAAAGTGAACAAACGACTTCTCGACAATAAACCAAACGTTCGAGTTATGCGTAAAATCCAAAACACACGTTTTGTCTCATATACGGTTCCATATTAATAAACAATATTGAACAATAAAGTACAAACCTGAAATCGTCAGATATCTGCGGGCTTATCCCTATCAAACCACTTTGAAAAAGTGCATCAACAGTAAAAACAGCATAGTTGTGTCCCAGCTGCTAACAGACAGGAATACAAAGGACGCGCATAAGTTCTCAAGATGAGGTAAAAACTCAAGATAAACATATGTTCAAGGTAAATATAGAACATCAGGGAACAAAGGAGGAAATTAAAAGAGCATCATGAATTATTAAAGATACTGATATCTATGGATGTTAAATGATGGACAAGAAACAAAGAAACAGAATGAACAGTCAAGACTGTGGGTGAAAAAACATTATAAAAAAATACGGATCATACTACTCAAAAATACTAAGTGGTATAACACTGAAGGTAAAAAAGAGATGAGAAGGAACATCCCATAGGGTAAACAAGAATTAACAAGTATGTATTATGAAATCAAGAAAAATGACAAGATGTCGTTATGATACTTTTAACCTCCAGTTGATATGTAGGGTCAAATTGCTCAACTTCTGCTGTTGGCAGATGGGCTACTACGCGGGCGCCTCGATACTACCAGACATTTATGTTGGTGACTAGCGATGAGTACTGGGCTCCAGTCTGAGTGTGGGTACATACAACTGAAGAGTCCCAAACAGGACGACATGCACGTCCTGGTTTCCTCTACTAGTCACTAATGTGAATATAAAAATGACAAGAATTGACAGTTGGTAGATGAAACTTCTAAAGAGGCAGAGAAGAGTGATAAATATTGTTCAACAATATAGAGGGTAGGTAAGAGACAAAGCGCTGTATTAATCTATCGGATTGATGAATGTAATCAGATGTTACAGAAACGATTCAGTGTTCTATCCCGACAAAGGAAGCGTACATCACGCTAACGGAGGAATCAAATAGTATGATTTAAAATGGAGGCCTAATTCAGTTATTAAATAAAACATACTATGAAGTCAAACTTCTTACTTTAGAGGAAACGAAACTCATGCTTCAATTTAAACCACACCACTACACAAATGATTCCTTCACATCCTGTTGTGTACACTAAATTGCATGCATGTACGGTGAACATACATTGGGAGAAGTAATCTGACTACGAAGTCGACAATTGGTGTAGAGTATATCCCTAAATGTTTAGAAAAACAATCAAATTCAAAAAATTCGGTAAATACAGGGGACAGACATCACAGGATTGACTCCAAGACAGCCTTAATACCAATGAGTAGGAACCGTCAACAACGCATACTTAGGTTCAATACGAAAGTTCAAAACCGCTTTGTGTAGTCAGAAATAATTGTCCCAACCTCAAACCTTCCTTAGTAATCTTTGCCACATTTGAATGCCAAGGGAGGCGTGGAAACGAATTAATATCCCTATATTTTCCAAATCTAACCCCACCCTATTTTCACCCCTCATATGATAAAATGTTTTGACAAGTTAATGTGTGATCAGATTGTTCGAAATTACGCGAATACATCACACATTTCTTCTTAGTACACTATGCTAATATATACGACACGAAACTACTAATTTCCTTCAGTAGTACGTTAAGGCTCTGACTTTGTAGTGGTTGACCACTTCACTTACCTGGGAAGTGCGATCAGACCTGATGGCTCAGTGGTCGATGAAATCTCTGGACGAATATAAAAGACTAAGTTGCCTTTCGCCAACTCACGCCACCTGTGGCGCCGCCAAGACGTCCGTTTGTCTATTAAGGTTTACGTGTACTCCACAGCAGTCCGCTCTGTTCTACTTTAATAGCTATGAAACATGGCCGTTGAAGGTGAAAGACATGAGAAGGCTTCAGGTGTTTGACCATCATATGAATGAAGTCTTTGACTGTTGGTTTGAAGCATATGAGGCGATGCAAGCTAGCCGGTTGGGGGTCCACGGGATAGGAGAAACCAGCGGTTGAAGACTCTAGGTGATGACATGGCTGAGAACCGATGTCAGTGGCACAGATGTATCCTCACACACACCCTCACCTTAACGCTATACTGAATCTCACCATTTTCTCATCCTTCCTTTCTCTCTTCTAGTACTTTATACTTCTTTCGACTGAGTTTTCTTTTCTCCATCTTTCAGTTCGTTGCCTTTTTACTTGATGTACTAATATGAGGTGTGGAAACTCGGACGGTTACGCAGTAATGCATTGTCCTACGTTGATTTGGATGTATAACTCTTTAGCTTTTTTCTAATTGGCATTCTCAACGGAATGATAGATAAATGATGCACAGAAATGGAGAACGTTGTGAATATTCAACATGGAATTTATTCATCCAAACTGTTCACAAAAATACTCAAAATGAATCATGCTGAAAAAATTCACCCAGATTTACACTCATCCTTCAGTCAGTTTGCTTTTTTATTCCTATTATTATTATCATTGTTATTATTATTATTATTAGTCCCTTGGGTTCCTAGTGGAACATAGGGCTTCAGTAGCACGTCTCCAGTGACCTCTGTTCTCTGAGATCTTTTCAACCTGGTTCCACGACAGCCCAGAAGCTTTCATTTCTTCCTCGCACGATCTCCTCCATGTCACCCCCGGACGTCCAACTCGTCGCTTCCCATGGGGATTCCACTCGAGGGCCTGACGCGTGATGTCCTCAGTCGGTCTTCTCAGTGTATGCCCAATCCATCTCCACTTCCTCCTGCATATTTGTTGCGTGATAGGTTCTTGGTTGGTTCGTTCCCAGAGCTCCTTGTTGCTTATTCTTTCTGGCAATCCATCTGATCTTCAGTAGCGAGCGTAAGTAGTTGTTGATGAATGTCTGTAGTTTATTGGAAATCCCTTTCGCAACGTGACAAGTCTCTGAGCCATACAGAAGCACTGACTTGACGTTGGTGTTGAAAATCCGTATCTTGTTCCACATGCTGAGTGCAGAAGATCTCCACACTGGTTTTAGGCTAATGAACGCCTGTCTTGCTTTTCCGATTCTGACTTTGACATCCTCGTCTGTGCCACAACTGCCGCCTGTAGTTGAAACAGTGCTTCCTAGATAGGTGAAGGAGGTTACTTCCTTTAAGTTTCTCCCGTTGACGGTGATTGGAGTTTGTTGTTGTTGGTGGTGCGGTATCTTCATCACCTCTGTCTTCTCTATATTCACTTGAAGTCCCGTCTTCCTTCGCTGCCTCTTCTGTCAACTTGTTAGTTTTCGCCTGTAGATCTTCAAGTTTATGTGACATCAAACACAAGTCATCGGCGAAATCCAGGTCTTCTAGGTTCTTTTCCGCAGTCCAGCCAGCGTATCCCCCTCTTCTCACAGCTCTCCACTGTTTGCTGCATGATCCAGTCAACCACAATCAGGAATATCATGGGGAGTAGTAGGCAACCTTGTTTCACTCCTGTCTTCACTTCACCCCAAAGGCATCACTGAGCTTCCCATTGTGGATTACTTGGCATGTGGCATCTTCATATAGTTGTTGAATGAGGCGGATAAAGGTTTGCGGTACTCCATAGTAATGAAGCAGTTTCTAAATCACTTCTCGGTCGACGCTGTCAAAGGTCTTCTCAAAGTCGATAAAGTTGAGGTAGAGAGCTGATTGCCATTCTATACTCTGTTCTATGATGATGCGAAGTGTTGCAATTTGGTCTGCACATGATTTGTACTTCCTGAAGCCTGCCTGTTCCGGTCGTAATTTTGAATCCAGTGCATCTTTAAGCCTCTCTAGGATGAAGCGGCTTAATATTTTGCTTGCTCTGGGTGGACAGGAGAGTGATTCCGCGCCAGTTCTTGCAAGCACTGAGGTCTCCCTTCTTCGGCAGTTTGACAAGGTAACCCTTCGTCCAATCAATGGGCAGGTACCTTCTCTTCCTTCCACACCATCTGCAATAGTGGTGTGAGAATGTCTGCTGTTGTCTCTGCGTCTGTTCTCAGTGCTTCTGGCGGTATCCCGTCTGGTCCTGCTGCTTTTCCGCATTTCAGTAGCTCTATGGCGTTCAGGACTTCCATTTTCGTTGGGGGATTTATGTTCACTTGTAGTTCAGCGGCTGTAGGTGGTATTTCTGAACGAAGTGCAGGTGGTGGTCGATTCAAGAGCTTTTTGAAGTGGTCGGCCCATTGTTTCCTTTGTTTCTCTTCTTTCGTAATTAAATTTTCTTCTTCATCTTTTATCGGTTTCATCTGTGTTGATCTCTTCCCTGATAGCAACCTGGTTATTTGGTACAATGTTGTCAGGTCTCTCTTACCAGCATGCAGCCTGTTCTGCTTCACTTACCAGTGTTTCGTAGAAGTGTCTTTTGTCTTTGCGTGCACTCTTCTTCACTTCTTTGTCCAG